TAATTCAAGCAACTTCATTTTGTTTAATTCAACAGCATTTTTCCCCGTACAGTAAAACATTGCGGTACATCATATTTGTCTCGGTCTTGTCATTTTCTTTCAACGGACAGATTTCATTTCTTTAAATATATAAACTGCTTAATATAACAAAAGGTTATGAGAATAAACGAGAAGGAGTGGAATCGGAAACAACGATGTGCGTTAAGGACATGTTAAACATTTTTGATATTTAATTGAAGATTTTGTCACGCGGATTACCACGTCACTCCATATCTTACGAATTGATAAGGAAAGTTACCCGGGAAAAAGAACGTGCTCGCAGAAGGTGTTCGCAGAGTTCTTCAGTTAGTGGCAGGAAAGAAATCATTTGACGGAGAAAATGAAAATAAGAGACCAGATGTGTCCCGGGCAAAAACTCGCCTCTGATTGTCACATCATTTTCTTTTTCCCATTCTTCCCTTTTTCTTCGAGCTCTCAATACCTAGCCACCAAACCGTCTGTGCTTTTATATACCCAGGTCCCTCAGCATGCAGTAGATTTTCATCAGCGATGATTATCAATTGTACAAAGACAATTGTTACGAGCCTTTCGCGACAGGTAGAACTGGCGAAATACAATTTATAAGTGGAAAATGTAAATAAGGCTCCTATATAAACAATGTTAGAAAACGTATAAGCAATGTGAGCCGTCACCAAGTTGAAAGTGGTGAAAAATTATGTATAATATTGGTATCAACAGATTTTTCATTGCTGAAGAGGGTTTTCGCAGACCGAAACGTCCAATTGTATTTCGATGTTAAGTGGTTTCTAATATTAAAAATCTGCTGATGCCAATACATAATTTTCACCACTTTCAACTTGGTGACGGCTCACATTGCCTATACGTTTTCTAACATTGTTTTCCGCAATTTAAATAATTTATAAACGCTATCGAAATATCGAACATGGGACTTTTTCCTCTAATACATGTGAATTTAATCGCTTTGTAACTGATCTAATCTTCGGTTTGCGATTAGTTATCACATTTTTCCGTAGAACCGCACTTGAGATGAAGGGCTTACTTTCCCGATTGCCAAATTGCGCGAATCCCAGTCGCTTCGCGTATCTCACGTGAAGGATCTCCGATTTTCGTAATCCAGATATTATTAGCGAGATCTCTGGTGCACGCGGTCTCCCCCATGATCTTGTAGCACTGACAAAGATATCACAGGTTCTCGCGTAAGCGCGGAAGTTTTGCTTAACGATGAAAGTAGCGCCAGACTCGCTGCGCGAGCCGATAGGGTCGGTTAATTGGTCTTACGGAAAATTCCTCGGACGATAACCGGGATGTCAATCTTGGCTCGCGGAATAAGATGCGAGATAACTAATAACGCTGATAAGGACGCGAGGTAGCAAGTGCGAGCGGTGATTTTAAGGATGGATTCGAAGGATGGGAGAGCGCGCTCTCTCTTGCTGTTGATAACGACGGGACGGGAACGGTTTATCTTCTTTCCGCTCGGGGGTGGTCTGCGGATCAGCCTAGACGCGCCTAAAACTTACATCAAGGTAATGAAAGCCTCGCTTCTCTTCCGTCTTCCATCTTTTAGACGTCTGCGTTCCGTTCCGCCGGATATCCGCTTGATCTCCCGCGCTGCTTTTATTTGTTCTCGAACTTTCAACGCAGGTCCCTCTCGGCTATTTATTAAGAAAACTTTCTACGAATATCTAGACGTGTATGATGATGACGTATCCTTCATATAGATACATCGATACGCGCGATATTCCTACGATGTAATCATACATTCTTAGCTGTTACTTTCTGTAACTCACTTTCTTCGGAATAATTTTACTGCAGAAGCAAAAAGATTGTGGCAAGGTAGTTTTATTTATAACCGAACTAGTATATTGTATCCACGCGTTTCTTCTACGTGCGAGATTGTCCCGAGCGCAAATATATATTTGCGATTTGTACAACTGTTTTTCATATTCGCTGACCTAAAGGAGTTGATACGCAGCTGCAGTTGCACTTTTCTTGCAAAATTTCTTTTCAATTTAAAAGTTTCAAAAATTGAAAACAACTATCTTTAATAGAATCCCTAACTGGGAGATATAAATGCATAAAGGTGTGAGATACGTATTAGAAATACACGTGAAAGTTTCATTAAACAAAATATAAATACATTTTATAACCAACGTTCACATGGGTGCACGCACGTGCAACAGGATTACAAAAACTATAGAGCCTGCGATATCATTTCACTTTGTTTTATAATCTTTTTTTATATCTTTTCTGTACACTAGCGTTTTAGATCCACTCGATAGGATATCCTGCGTATCATTTGCGATATCGCGCGTCATATTTTCGTACAAAGATATATCTCATGCAATTGTGCTCTGATTAAAGCGATCCATTCTCTAATGCTTGAAATCAAACATAAATGCATCATAGACTGAATGTATTGTGTACTGGAAAATTATAGGCAAAGTGACGAAACACCGGGTTGCACGTGGATTGAAGATAACGCCGACAAAGGCAAAATATAATTACGAGCCGAATATAATTGCCATGTTTAATCTGAAATTTTCATGGAAATGATATGCGTTCGCACTGGCTCGGTAGTGCAGTATTGACACACTTTGACAAAGAATTATGTATTAATATAATTTTCAAACAGTTACCTTCTTCTGTCGGGAAAAAGTTCAACGCTGTATCGTTGAAATAAAATGGCACGTATCGGTAATGTACTAAATAATATTATTATTCGATAACTGTTTTATTTTTTAATACGTATTGTTTTAAAAGTTAAATTATATTCTGCAGAAAAAATTGTGAAAACCAGATTGTACTGTTTAGGCATCATATCGCCACATAATATTGTTACGTATATATAAAATATTATTGTAGAATGCATTATAGACCCATTATTCAATTCGCGATGTTGTCTATCCGATTAATATAAAAATTCAACATTTTAAAATGCACTTTTCTCTTATTACTTGCTAGCGTTACCATCGCAAATCCAATCTTTCATCAAGATTAAAATTACATTAAAATGAACATCGGTAAAATTTGAATTTAAATTACTTCTTTCATATATGTTTGTTTTATACATACCAAACGAATTTTTGTTCGAGACATATACACACGTATGCATATAGGACATTGCGAAGAATAAAAATTCACCGACTTCATTAACGCGCACTCTTGCAATTCCGCATTTTAAATTTGTTATCCTCAAAACGCATTCTGTCTTATCTGCCGCGCCAGGAAATAATGGGAGAAACATTCTGAAAAATAACTTAATGTTTAACAACTTTTTTTTTCCACACGCGCGACAGTTTCGTCGAAGCGACATATTCGTGTTGAAAAACCGTATATAATATAAGTTTATTCGTATCAGTGATTACGTTTCACGCGGATATTATTCTTGGATATTATCCGCTTGCGGAATATCGCATTCGGACGTTTTCGAGTGACGCGAGATCACGAAATCTGGAAGAGTATGTCCAAACTCATCCCGGTAGTTTTACGCTCTATTTCGTGTGAGCAAACTCACCGGTGATTTTTCACGAAAATTAAATGTCACGTGAAATGAGTGCACGGCACATCTCCGACTTGCTTCTTGATAAAGAATGGGTGATATTATTCTAATGGCGCTGCAGCCGCATCCTACATGATTCTACCATCAACCGTGCTCATCAGTCTTGTATATCGTATGTTTCGTTCCGCGATGTTGCTTTTCGGCAAACGTGAACTGTATGTTTCTATTATGCCATTTTTGTGCACGCTAGGGTTGTTATTTAATAAAAGAAATTTGATAGGTTGGGCCATACATTTTACGCAAACCCTCCCTACGAGAGTCGTGTTTGGAAATCGCAAGTCGGATAAAACAAAACGGCATGCGATGCATTTAAACATTCGATGTTTTGTTGCGCGCGCGCTGTTTACTTGTTCGGTTACTTACAAACACGTCGTTAGGTTGTGAAAATTGCCTTAAGTCAATTACCGTTTGTTTGCGTATTCCACTTGCGCGAGTAATTTAAATTTCTTTTATATACGCGACGCAATATAAAATTAATATCCGTTACATACTTTCGCGAAATTGGCAAAACGTATTTGCATGTCTATAAAATATTATAATATAACATGCGGAGTAGTGACTTTTTGATGATAATATATGTTGCTTTTGATTTACGTCGCGTTATGTGTGTGCGATCGCGCCTTTTCATCGAATATTTATTTATCCACTAACGTTAATAAGGTAACATACCAATATTTCACGAGCGCTGTTTTCAATTTTATCTGAATCGGGATTGGCAAAACGATTTCGATCATGAATGTTACATTTATTCATGGCAGACGCGCGCAGAGAGTAAATTATAATTTCATTACGAGCGATAACATATAAAAACGTAGCGGAATTACTATCTCTTGCGAAGCAGAAATAAAGTTTCATACAAATGAGGTTTCGAACAGCCAAGACCGAGCTAACACGAATTCTCGACTACGCTTCGACGAGATGGAAAAAAAAATCAACACCGATGACGCGCGAGCCTCGGACAAAACTCGACGTATAACAATACACATTTGAATTATTATTCCATGCAAATTAGCCACGTCTCGTGCGGTTTTCCTCGTGGCTAAACCATCGGCGTTGCGACTCGTATGCACAGTGTCCGCGAAGGAAAAAAAAAATGAAGAGGAAGAAGGAAGAGGAGATGGGCTCTCTCAAATGAGGGGACAATGCGTGGTGCCGAGAGAACATGGTGCGAGAGAGGGCAAAAGGAGAATAGACAGATAGCTGGCGGGAGTAGACCCGACTAAGAAAAGTCGAAAATCTTAATTCGGGCGCGGTGCCGCCCTCGCAACGCGATGGGCGGTGACTCGCAAGCGCCGATTGGCCTGGTTCAGGAAAGGGTGAGAGGTCTTGCACGGGGGTGGCAGAGATCTGCGCCGTGATGCCGGGACGGCGGCGTGTGCCGCCGACCGGTTCTACTGGTACCTCTATGAACGCCAGTCGACGCCGGGCGTCCCAAGCGCGCACTTGCTGGGAGCTGTCCTCGTATCGCGCCCAGGTCTGGCACCGGGTCCTCCCCGGCACCGGGTAACGAGCGACGATCACTCGCCGAACGATACATCGCGCGTACACTCGCCAAGATCTTGGCGACGGAACGAGAAGTATCGGTGCATATCGGTCGTTGTATTTTTCTTTTTTTTCATTCGAAATATCGATACTCGACAACCGAAGGCGTTGTTGACGCGAGGAAGTGACATCTCTCCACTTGGGATCCACGTCTAGGATGCATCGCGGGGACATAATTTTTTATAAAATTCTGACATAGCCCCTCTTGATGTAAGATCGTACCGGAGGTCCCTCGGATCAACGCGAGAAGTGCTTTAACGCTTGCCCTTGCTGGATCCCCGAGGGACGGAGCGAGTGTCGTCTCGCGGTAATTGGCAGTGACTGGAGAGACTAGACTGGTGAACCGATAGAATGCGAATGCGGATCTTATACTCGTGACATCGAATTTGTTAATCGGATATCGGTGATGCAGCTACATGCTGGAAGGAGGAAGGGGATGACTGTTAATTTCCTATCGAGGATGGTGGCGGTCTTTGTTTTCGCTTGCCTTCTACTGCAGAATGGTCGGTCGACATTCGCAGCGTTCACCACTGGTAATGTTAAATTTGTCTTACTGCGATATCTCTCCCAGAGAAAATTGTCGATTTCGGTAATAGCCAAATTATTGTCATTCATAACTGTTATACGTGTACATATAGTTATAATCGTTTGCCAATAATTCTGTTTCGTACAACGACTGCGACAATTTACTAAAGCACCAACGATACGGTTTCTGAAAATTGTATTAAGTCTCTAGTACAAATAACAAAAGGCATACAACGCCACATTTACTTCTAGTATTCCGCAGTATTAAACAAAAGTATCTGCTTGTTACGCAGAAAGGTTATTTAATTAACCTTTATAATATTTTTAATAGTCTGCTTTATGAAAGTAGTTTGTGTAGATAAAGCAGGCTTATTACGCAGAAAAGTTATTCATTCCAATATAATTTTATCTACACTTTAAAATGATACAGTATTTTAATTTTCTCCAATCCCTTTTAATAAAAAAATATCGCTGTCAAAACTTAATAGCTGACCAATTAACAATAAAACCTTTTATTTTTCATTTCTAGAAATATTATACGAAATCATTTACACGCGTTTCTACGTGCATATCGGTGTACCATAAATTGGCGTCCTTGGTTTGGTTTATAACAGAAGTGATAGATGACTTTGTTTAGAGAACGGTACATAATTATTCATAATTATCTCACAATGTACATATATATGATATATTGCAATTATATCAATCTATAGCGTTATAACGATTATAACGGTTCAATTCTGCTATTAATTATATAGTTTCAGTTTTGCAGTCGATTAATATATATTGCAAAAGTTTGTGACGCAATTAAATATAAACTATCCACCGCATATCCCCCGCTGGTGTCTCCCACGTTTGTTTGTATGGTGACTTAAACCTATACTATTCCGATCGGTAATCTCGGATTTAATTTTGGTCACATTAAATCTGGCGCTGACAACGGTACACAATGTTTCGACATATTATGGCTTTGTAAGGTTATATATGACGAAAATGAATTGCCAATTTGTGCTGAGTGATCAGGGGGTGAAATATAATTTTGAAAATCGTACTCTCTTACGAGAAAAAAATTAGATTTATCTTTTAATTTAGAATCTATTACTCTTCTAATTACAAATTGAAAACTAACGTTAAAAAAAATTTCACATGCGATGTAAATTTAAGTATCTATCTATCTATACTTACATATAATATACAATAAAAATAGTTATATATAAAACAGTATAATCATGTATTGCTTTAATACTTTCGTCAGGGAGAAATTATCTTTTTTTTAAATATATAAGTAGATGCGATTAACTCTAAACCTAAAGACGCGTTGTGGATGCAATTTTTAAATCTTATTTATTTGACTGTTTTTTACTTCTACTCCTAATTTATTATTTCAGCAATTTATCTAACTACAAAAATATCTAATTAATCACCTGTAACAATTCCAGATATGATATTATGAATTTGCTACCACAGACTCATGGACCCATTCTGTTTCGGCATACATTAAAATGTTCAGTCAACTTTAGGTAATTTTTTCGTCCATACACATACTAAAGAATCTTGTTCTATATTGCGGTTTGAGCACTTATAATGTTTCCAGAATGTACTTGAGAACGACCCGATAAAGGGGTCGAAACGTCGTGATTAAAATAAACATCAATTTTGCCAGTTCGATCGATTTTAAAAAAAATTTTCCTTGGTTGATTACCATTGGCGACAAAAAACCACTCAAATTGGCAATTTTTTAAGTCGAAATAATCATACATAAGTACGTGTAACGTAACAGCAGCATCGCGCGTCTAATTGATAGCGAAAGAAAATGGATTTCGTTACGTAGAAGTAAAATTCGTATTCACACTTGGGGCGTAGCATAAAGTTAATACGCACAACGGTCTTCTTTTCGACGCAATTGGGGTGATCATCGTCGTTTCGAATGACACGTCTTTTCGTTCTCCCTCGTAAGCACTATCACGAAAAAGCTGCTCGAGGGGCTCTAATACCCGAGCTTGCTGAAATTACGCTTCAATGGCGAAATTGCGCTAGGAATGAGCTACGTCCTGCGCGCGTGCTTCACATGCATAATTCATAAGCGAGGCGTCACGGTGAAACCTCGGGCGATAAATATTTTTTGAGGACGGAAGGATGTAAAAGTGCATGCAAATGAATCTGACTGTAATGCAGTGGCTACTACTTACACGGGGTATTAAGCTCCCGGCCGGCACACTTTTCTTTCCGCACACCCGCCTTTTACTTCCACTTTATTATTTCGCGTATATACCACAATTAAACGGCGAGGGCGAATAAAATTTTCGGAAGTGGTAGAGTACGAAAGCAGATGCAAATTAATGCTTCTCTCCATGCCGGTGTCGTTTACGTCGTAACGCGCGCCTCGTCGTAGTACACGGAAGCGCTTTTCTTCCCTCGCGTCTCGCTTTTTTTGTGAGAATTTATATAAGAAATTTATCAGCTATCGTTGAGAGGATATGCTATTAAGTACACGCATCCTTCAATTTTCGGGGTACTTTTTTTTACGCGGTAAAAATCCCTCTGTTTACGCGGAAAATGCAAGTAAAGTCAATTACACGGAAAAAAGAACATTCTTCTTTTGGAAATATGTTTAGTTTTAACGTGAAAATCTTGAAATGAGATTATACTGCGTTAAAAGAAGGAAAATTTACTTGACTGAAGAACTTTTATATAAATCAATCGAGAAAAATATATGCTTGTTGTTTAAAAATAATTTTCTTGAATGGAAAGGAAACGATATATTGGATAGAAAATAACACATTTTTAAATCGAAGATTATAATGATTAAAACGATTTTATTGTCAAAATAACTATATGTATTCTTGCAGTGACAATTATAGTATTTAAATAAGATTGTAATATTGTTGGAATGTAAGATTATTAAATGCTTCTAAGAAGATTATAGATTGTTGCGTATATACAAAACAACGAATGCGTTAATTTGAGTATATATGTAAGAGTTGATCTGAAACTTATTTTTTGTGTAAGAAGAAGCAAGAGAAACATAATCTCCTTAATACATATGGTATACGAGTTTTTCTTTTACGTATTCCTTTTGTATTGGCAGACTCCATTCAGGCGATTCTCAACCGTGTAAAAGAAACACATGAAACGAATACTCTTTGCGTAAATAGAGAGACGGGTATATGTTACTTTAAACTCCCATTTCAGATAATCTTTAACTCGGAATGTAATATGAAACGTTTAAAAACAGTCCAAATATAAATGTAAAACTTATATTAAACTAGATGAATCAAAATAGGTACGGTGTATCATGTAAATGCTATTCTATCCTGAGGTCGTTTAAAGTGGGCTTCACGGAACAAATATTCAAATATTAAATGTCTTGATATTATGTTGCACAGTAAATATAACAATTTAAGTATTTATTGTGCAATAATGAATATAATAAATTAATAGCTTTGTTGAAAACACAACAAAAATTTTATTAGATTTCACAACTGGGTATTGCGTATTTAATAAAATATTTATTAAATTTCCCTATATAAACTAATTTTTAGAATTCTTACGAGAGTCCAATTGCACGTACATACATTGTACAATACGTATGAAAACACAAATTTCGACAAACAAAGTTCCTCAATGTCCGACGTGCTCGTGTGCACGTATTCGTGTGATGTACAAAAATTTGTGAAAAGAATTGCGCGATCAATCGAATTTACTGAAACGCGAATGCGTTAAGCCTTGGGGAGGATAGCGTGATTTCGAAATCCAATTGTCTTTACGAACGCACAGATTGTCGGTCTTGAAATCGGGATGGCGAGTGGCCACATTATCATCCCGTCCGCCCTCCCCTTCCCACCCCCTTCCGGTGGCGGTCGAAGTGGATGCGAATTTTATACGGTGGTCATTCAATGCGCATGTTACTGCCCTCGAGTGCAATCTCTTAGGTAACGTAGTCTCGCATCGGATAGAGATAGATAGATCCCGGGGCCCACGATCGGGAATATGGAGGGTCTCTCATTGTCTCCATATCTGATCGCACTGAACGACGAATAAAACCACTTTAGTCCGGTTACTGCCGATTGCCTCGCCGCCGTTACGTTTAATACGTACTTGGTGTACGAGCCCGATATCCATTCCGCTGCCGCCGCCACCGTTGCCGCGCGCGCGCGCGCTTATCTAATTTCAATGAATTATTGAAGAAATTTGATAACGATTGTCGAGTCGCATATTGGTCTTTTTCCGGGCGCGTTCCCGTTCGTCGAACTTATCGTCGGTGCGCGGGAGTCTTCTATTCTTAGCCGGCATTTGTCTTGCTCTCCCCTCTCTCTTTCCTGTACTTTTTCTCTTCACTGTCTTTCTCTTCCATACCAGGGGCTATGCCGCTTTCCCAACTGTTCTCCGCGAAATTATCTCGTAGCCTAAGGGTTGCCATCTGTTTCGATAGGGGAAGCCACCCCTAATTATGTACGGCGACAGTTGTAAGGGTGCTAAATCTAATATCTAATGTCCGAATAGCACGTGAGGCATGTGCAATACGTGTCGAAAATACGAAAGATTTCCATACATTTTGGCCAATTGTTCGGCTCCGTAAGAGGCCCTCGTCCCCCTATACAGCATAGATAATCATGATTGTGGCACGTTTAACAAAGGGCGAAAAAACTACTTCTTAAATCGCTTAAAGATTCGATACGAATTAACGGACATTCATTTTTCAAATACCTCTTTTGTGTGTATAACTACATTTTTTTTCTATAATTCGCAACACGTTCGCGTAACTATGTTCTACTATATTTTATTATAACAGCGTTACTCGAATTAAAGTCCCATTAAAGTCTACCTGGTGAGGAAAAATAAGATGCTGGTTCATACTATATATTTGCAATTTATTCCTGGAAAACTTATTTCATAGAGACAGATTCTCAATTGTCAACAGTTAAAGAACTACGTTCGCGTACCTTATCAGGAACTTTATTTAAATTGAATCCGAGAATTTATGTGCGGAAAAGGGAGTACAGGACGA